ACACACACACACACACACACACACACACACACACACACACACACACACCTAAAGGCTGGAAAATGCCAATTTTTCATAAAGCAAAAAAGGTCTTGGAGAAATGGAAACTCAAATCTCATGGACTAAAATCTCTAAGCTGAGAATATTGTGTGAAAGAGAAAAGGGCAGATTGCTTAAAAGCAGAAAGAGAGTGAAGGAAAAAAGGAGTAAAATAAAGGTGGTGGGGGAGGAAAGTGTAGAAGAAACAGCCGCAGAGGGGAAAATTCTTGTCAGCAAACTTTCCTTACTGCACGGCTATAAATTGCCGACTGCTTCAACCTGACTGCTGCAGGGTTATTAAGGAGCAGAGCAAAACAGCAAAATGACAGACAGCTGAAAGAGGTGAACAGATGCACTGTTAAAAAAAGAAAAAGTGACACTGTGGCGCTTCCTATCCCCCGTGTTCATACCTGAAGGTAGCTGTGACAGACATGTCCACGAGAACAGAGGTGGTGAGAGTCAGGTTCGATCCCTGAGGGACCACATCTGGCACCCCTTTGACTGTGAGGTTGGTCATGGGCTGCCGCCGATCCACAGTTACGTTGAAATGCTTCGTTTTGATGCTGACGTGGTTCATGGCCGTCACCTGGAACGGTCGCCACACATTTCATAAGCGCTGTAACCTTGTGATATATTTTAAGTTTACTAAACCTAAAATATGCAATCACAATGCCTGCAAATACACAATGTGACCAACAAAGAATATCCTGTACATCAGACTAGAGCTATATGAACCAACTGATTAATGCTTGTTTTAAATATAAACTAGGCCTGTCGCAATAAACAATAAATCAATTAATCGCATGATAAATTAAAATTATCGAGCTCATTTTCATTTATCGGCTTTATCGCTTCTTTGTGTCTCTCTCTTTCTACTGAAGACACTGGATGATAAAAGGCTCAATTCCGGTGCTTTTCACTGACGAACTGTCCAGGTGACCTGCATGAACTTTGTTGGATTTTCTACCTGAATTATTGAGCATGAACCTTGATTGTTTATAAGTAGCCACTCTTTCTTGCATTCCTTTAAAATACTTTTGAATAAAAGCTTTTTAGCTTTTATGAAAGCATTTTAATTGTTTTCTTGAAACCGTGAATGCTTTTTCAAGCATTTGTCAAGTTTTTATTTGAATTTGTTCCCTTTTCTTAAAAACACAATTTTCAAAATCTGTTTATTCTAGGGATGCACAATATTAATCGGTGTGGTATCGGTCGATAATAGCGATAAAGTTAAATATTGGACATTCCATCAAAATATCTCACTGATATAAAAGGTGCTGTTTATACTAATGTATGTATGTATGTATGTATATATATATATATATGGCACTATTTTTGTCTACAAACTAGTCTCTGTAAGTAGGAAGTAGGTCTAGGAAAATAAATATCGGTATTGGTATCGGTTACAGGCCAAATAAGTTTTAACGTATCGACATATCGGATATCGGTCAAAAATCCAATATCATGCATCCCTAGTTTATTCAATAGTTTTACACCTTTTATTTTTTCACTTATCCAGTTTTTTGAAACTCTTGAAGGATATACTTAGTCATGATATACCAAAAACTCCAACAAGCCTGCAGAAGTGTTGCTAGCTTGATAAAAGTTTGGTACCTTAGAAGCAAAACATTAGGACATCAAGGAGGTTAAAATATTTAAGAAAACAATGGGGTAACACAACATTTTTGTACAGTAATATAAAAAGTTATGCATCTATATTTGACAATCAGCAGGCTTTCTCCTTCTTTTTTTACCACTTGTTGATCAAAGCCTGTAGATACTTTGCTGAAGACAAGGGTGTGAAAAACTGATTTGTCAACGCAACAACTTGACTCGTGTTGAAATGAACTTGCGACAAAAACTCACCGTTAGTTTGTAGATGGCAGCGTGCTGGTAGATGACGTTGAGGACAGTGTTGTAATAGGTGAAATACGGCTTGTCGTCTACAGTCCATTTAAATGTGGGATTGGAACCTTGACGCACCGACGCACTGTAACTCTAAAACACAAAGAGCAACTGTTTGTACACCATACAGTACGGTGTATTAGTACAACAGATATCTGCCACACAAACACAAACTCACCACCACTGACTCCATCAGCACCCTGTTTGTAGGATCGGGCTGCACTATCAGGTCCCCGAGTGGCTCCTCCAGGTGAACTTTCACTGTCAGGCTGTCTTCTGTCACATTACTGTGGGCCTCCAGCTCCACCTGCACTGGACCTCTCTGTTCCTCTGATCCCAGGCTCAAATCCAGCACTGCATACAGGCTGGGCTCTGAAACTGTGACCTTTGACCCTGAGCTTCGACCATCCTGGCAGAGTGTTGGAGTGGACAAGAACTCAGGGGGGCATTCTGACTGGAATGTCACGCTGTGATCGCTGCCACGCCTAGAGGCCCTTGTTACGTAGCGAGACTGCACGCGGAGCAGAAGTCGGGCGCTGTTGGGCTGTAGGTAGATGGTTCCGTTCTTCGGAGGCGGGTCAAGGATGGTCAAGCCAAGAGGAGGAACCACCCACAGTGGGCATGATGCTGAGGATGGGTATGACGGCTCAATGGAGGAAACCTGTGGGTTAATTTGGTCAGTTATTATAATTATTACACAAAAGTAATATGAAAACAGGTTAAAGTTGTTGAGAGAAACCTACACTCAGTCCATCCAGGTTTTAACAGACTTCTTGTGATTGTTGTGATCTAAAATGCAACTTTTTGATAAAAGTTGCTATGTTTTGTAACTTTTTTTCTTTAAGGTGGCAAAAACAAAAGAATGTACAAATATAGAAATAAAGCTTTTGACACTGTGGATCATAACATCTTGTGTCACAAGCTCTCAGAAATTGGTTTCTCAAATCACACCATTATTTGGTTTTCTATCTTTCAGATTGGAGACAATGTGTTCAACATAATGGTATTTCTTCCAGTTATTTAACAGTCAAAAATGGTGTACCACAAGGCTCAGTCTTAGGACCCACCCTCTTTACAATCTACATAGGTAATGTAGGCCAGAGCATCCCTGATGCATCCATACATTTCTATGCTGATCACACAGTTCTATTTCATCCCTCCTGACGACCAGAGGGCGGTGCTGAAAGCACTGAATGTTCCCTTTGCGCATGCGCTGTTCGAGTAATAATACCAACGGAGTCACAGGTGTGACACGGATGACCAATCAGAGGCTATATAGCCTGACGTCATCTGCAGCTCTGCTCCTAGAGAATCTTCTTGTGGAATGCAAGGATTCTGAGTGACAGAGAAGTTCTGGCGGTCATCCGGGATTCATAGAAACCGTAGTTACATACGTAACTTTCATTGTTTATTGTCAAGCTAAAACACTTGCTAAGATTTTCCAGCTTTTGCAATCCGCCTTTGACATCATCCAGCCAGATTTGTTCTGTCTCATACTTGTCCTAAATGCCGATAAAACCAAAGGGATGCTTTTTTCAAACAGGAAGTTCGTCCCAGCAGTTGTTCCTCAGATTTTATCCTCAAATGGTGTCCCTATTGAGTTTGTCGATTCCTATAAATATTTGGGTATCTTGGTCCACTTGCATCTCTCTTTTAAGTTTCACGTGAAAGGTTGAATGAATGAAAAAATATCGTCGTATGAATGACATAAATCAAAGCTGTTTTGATACTAAGATCCAAACGTAGAAAAAAAGTCTAAAATTTATGACTTACAGACTTGGTGATTTTCAGTTAACCCTAAGCACATGCAAGAGATGTCAGCTGTTAATGACACAATAAATCATTATCGCTCAGACCTGTCGTCTCTGATTTTGTCCTCCATTTAGGAGAAATTTTCTCTCGTCTCTCATAGCCTGGCTGACTGAAAAGAAATGCATCAAACCTGCAGATTTTGCAACAGAAAAGCGCTTGTTAAGCAACACTTCTAATCAATGTGTCACTTCTGATCGAGCAACAACATGTTGCATGTGGTGCAAAACAGTTTTCCACCACTTTCCCAGACTTTAATGGTAATAACTAATGATGTATGATTTCTTGAGGTTCATTCATCCATTCATCATCTTTTGCTTGTTCTAAAGCCGGGTTGTAGGGGCAGCAGCTTGAGCAGAGAGGCCCAGACATCTCTTTCCCCAGTCACCTATTCCAGCTCTTCAGCGAGGACTCCAAGCAGCTCCCAGGCCAGCCGCGAGACACAGTCTATGCAGTGTGTCCTGAATCTTCCCCAGAGTCTCCTTCCAGTTGGATATGCCTGGAAAACTTCCCCAAGGAGGCGTCCAGTGGGGCATCTTTACCAAATGCACAAACCATTGTAGAAGCGCTAATATTATGGAGGGTTGACATCTTGTTATCCTTGGTCTAAAATATTATAAGCACTGACGCTGTGTAGCACTGACAACATGCTGTCCTTGATCTAAAAATATCATGTAAAGACATTTGTTTTTGTTTGGCCTTGAATTGTCAGGCACTGTATGCTGTGAAGATCGTTAGAATAGCTATATGAGGGTGTTGCAGCAAAACGTAGTCGAAGATGATTAAAAAGGACAGCTTGTACCTAACCAAGGATGAAGCTGACAAGGCCGCACTCAAAACTCAATGTATTCTTTCAACTGATGTCTTCACAATAAACTTATGGGGCACAAAAACAAGCACTGTTTTTATGTAGTCGAATGGTGATGTGACATTAATACAGTAGTCCCTCGTTTATCGTGGGGGATCGATACTCTGAAGCCCTGTGATAAGTGGAAAACTGTGAAGTAGGAGCAATAGTACAAGTAGTACTTTATTTTAGTATATTTATACCATATGTATATGTATAGCCTGTTAGACTCATGAACCTCTAACCAGGATAATCACTGTGAAAGATCACATCATGTTGCTGCTGATCTGTTTCATGTTATTGTGTTCATGCGTGCTCATCTGCTCACACAGACTCATGTTCGTGCTGCTGTTCGGCGTATTGTTTTTATGCTACTAGTGCTTAGTGTATTTTTAGCGGATCTTTTTCTTAGTTCATATCTTAGATCTTATTACTGTTTTTTTTTTTACATTTTACTGTGGGATGTAACTGGGACCCTGTGTACATAATTTCGTTCCACCACATGTACCACATGTGGTACATCGGACTCCAGCATCTCTTTGACTCCTCAATTTTTGACTGATTGTGAATACAGTGTTCAAAGGCAGTTTTTTTTTTTTTATTCAGAGAAGCTTCCTAAAGGTAAAGTTAATCTATATTTTACTCATTTTGGGCTAAGTTAGCTTTAAAACTAAATAATTACACAACTGGCTCTTCTCATAGTGGAGGAGCAGCAGTTCTACTCGGGAGTCTCTATTGGATAACTGAACTTCTCATGCTATCTTTAAAGGGAGAGTCCAGCTACCCTGCAGATAAAACTCATTTCGACCACCTATATTTCCAATCACACTCTTTCAGTAGCTACTCAGAGTTTGTGTCTATAGGTGAGTGTAGAAACAGAACGACCAATAAACAGAGAGCTTCGCTTTGCAGCTCAGTTCCCTCTTCACCACAACGGACCGGCACAGAGTCCGCAATACTGCAAAAGCTGCAGCAATCCGTCTGTCAATCTCATGCTCCATTCTTCCCTCACTATACTTGAACTCCTCCATTTGAAACAGAACCTCACTCCCCCCCACCCCACCTTCCGGAGAGGGCAGTCCACCCTTTTCTGACTGCGGACAATGACCTGAGATTTCATAAAGCAGGACATGTTTTCGTCCTGCTGGATCCTTTACCAGGAAGTAAAAATGGGCACGGGTCAAAGGTCGAGTTAGTGGAATGGTTGCGAGTCTGAGCTGTGATCAGTTCAATGTGTTTAATTAGTTGGGAACACAACTTCCTGAAAGGACTGTATAACACTGCACCACAAATCCAGTTAGCAATAACATTATGACCACCAGTTTGTGACTGAACATTTTATTATAGTAATATTTAGCTGTAGATGGGGTATAATTAGCAATCAGTGAAGACTTTCAAATTGGATGTGATGAAAGAAGAAACATTAGGTGACTGTATGAATATGATCAACAGTGATGAGATCAAAATGTGATTAAAAAAAAGCTCATGTCATGGAGATGGAAGGAGAACTGATAAACCAGCAGGGCTGGAGCAAAGGCTGGCCAGTGTGATCCAGTTCAACAGAACAAGGACTGTTGCTCAAAGTGATTAAAAAGTAAATGTGGTTCTCATAAATAGTTTTCCTTAATACAACGTACAAGCTCACAGCTTTACTAGAACACATTTCTCACATAAAAAAATGTAAAGAAGAAAAGAACCAGACAGATCCTCCTCACTCTGACTTGGTGCCAGATAAAAATAAATTTTAGTTGAGCTAATTCATGTTATGTGTCCCTAAAATGTTTAGAAATTTTTATTTTGTTTGTCATGTGAAAGAAAGTTCATACGAGAAAAGCTTTACACTATAGGCTCTGTTTTCCTCAGTGGCCTCCTCCTGCCAGATGCATGCTGGGAAATGACACGAGAACTGATGACTTACCAGCAGGCTGTAGTGTCCGGGCTGGGGTAAACCAGCAGACAGCTGTGCTCCCTGCAGCTGGGTCTTATTGTGGCCCACATAGAGCACTCTGATGGGGCAAAATTCCTCTTCCAACCAGTTCCCCTCCCCGTTCTCCACACGAGTCTCGGCGTCCAGCTCCGGTTCAGGCGTGAGGTCGGCTGGAAAATCTGACGATTGTCTGGTGCTGTTGACCCAGAACCACTCCGACAGGTTCAGGGCTAAAACAGGCTGTCGCCACAAGGACTGAGGAGAAGACTGACACTGAAGAAGAGAGGACGGTCCGCTGTCATGCTGCAGGGCAATCACATCTCCACGTGAAACCAGGAGGTTCTCCAGCTGGTCTTGTACCTGGAAGAAACAAAAGTCCAGACAGTTGAAGTTTAAAAACAAAAACGGGTCATCACTAAAGACAAAGTAAACTATCTCACCTGTATGTGTGCTGCTGGTCCGGCTGGAAGAGTGAAGACTACCTCGTTCTGCAGGAGGTATTGGGGCCTCCACGTCCCAGGTGGCAGGTGGTGACCATGGGTGCAGTTAGGACAGGAGGACGACTGACAGGGACTCGACAGGGGCAAGCACCGGCGCTGGAAGGGACACCATTGCTCCAGTGGAGGGCAAAAGGGAGGATTGCTGCTCACTGTGTCATTAGGGACACAAAGAGCAACTGGAGAACACACCAGACCTCCACAACCTGGAAAATTAAGATGCATTTTCTCAACTAATTTCAGTAACATAAAAAACACAGTTTATAAAAAAAAAAAAACATCAGTTCATGATTGTTATTAGAGACAGCACACTTAATCGTGAATCTTGAACAAACACACAGATGACCGAGACAAAGGTGGCTGCTATAACCCTGGTATTTGTAACTTCTGTATTTTCAAAGTACAGTAGTCCCTCACTACGTCACGGTTCGGCTTACGCGGACTCGCTCTTTTGCAGATTTTCAACAATAACTTTAATATCACTCACACGATTGAGACGGTACGGTATATAAAGTTAATAAAAAAATACATTGGACAGGCGCCGCCATTTTGTAGTTTTCTTTCAATAAGCCTACACTGTAATGCCAGTCAAAAGAATTACACTACCCTACACTAAGGCGTTTTAAACCCTTCCCACACTCTTGCAATATTCTAAACATTTCTAAACCCTAAAGACTCCAAAAGAGCACAGAATATCATGATTTCAGCTCCCTGCCTCCTTTGCTCTCAGCCACCTGTGCTCTGCACGGAGAACAGCTGATCAGCTGCAACAGGAAGTTTATCCTGCAGCAATAAGGGCTGCACAAAGGTGCAGTAGGTGCTAATTAATTTAAAATAATTTATTTTAAATAAAAATTCCATGCCAATCATGTGGCTCATCCATCAATCAGTCATTTGTGAGTCAAGTCCAATCTTATTTTGAAAAACTGCGATAGAGCGAGTCCGCGATAAACGAACTGCCAAGTAGCGAGGGACTACTGTATACAAATACTAAAATAAATATAGAGATCCTACTTCATGGTTTTTCACCTGATCCCGGTGTCTGGAATGTAAACCCTGCGATAATCGAGGGACAACTGTATTTTACTTTATTTGTCATTTTTTTTCCTCATAAAAGTACACTGAGATCTCCTCAGTTCCTTAAAAAATATTGTTCTTTTTAAACTTTGCTTCAGCAAATGGCCTGCTTCATATGCTCTATTTTAGCCCTTTTTTTGGGTACCTTTAGCCTTTAGACCACCATTCTTGTTTTATCTATAATTTTGCTTCTTTTAGCTTGCAGCTAAAGTTTTGCTTATTTTAGCATTTACAACTCAGCTTTATCTTCTTTAGCAGTTTTCATCATCCAGTACTAAGAGTTCATCCTGCACGTTTGCAGAAAATGCAGTTTCTCGTTTGTTTGTTTTTTTAACACGTTCATTTCCAGCTTCTCTTCCCGTCACACATCTGTGCGCCTGTGCCTCAGCAGAACTGTGCACACATAAATATTGTGAGTCTGCTGATTGTGAACGATGAGAGGAAGCAGCCATTTGCGTGCTTGTTTGATTTCTCATAAATTTGCCTCACGTTCTGCCTCCGTTCACACTTTATTTTTAAAGTTAACCTCTTTAGACAAGCAGAGGGACTTCTGTGTGTGTTTATGTGTAATTGGAGGTGTGTGCTCAGGTGGCTTATATGTTATTTTTTAACACCTGCTGGTAAACTCTCCAGGAATTTGTGCACATCTTCACTTTTTATGTACATCGGCGTGTTTCTGCAGGCGACTCACTGGGCAGCAGCAGGTGCTGGCCTGGATAACGGCAGTGAGGTCTATAGGTCTGGAACCTGACGTGGACTTGTGAGCTGAGCTCCCGGGTGATAAACTCCAGAGAAGACAGACGACCTTCCCAAACAAAGCTCATTGCAGGAAACATCAACAGCTGTGAGCAAAAACAAAACAAGAAAAAAGTTTCATTAAAAAAAAATAATAATAAAATAAAAAGATTTAAGAAGAGGAAAGAAACCATAAAAAAATCCACCTTACCTCTACGGCTCTGGGTGGTTGTGGAGCAGTGAGTGAGGTAGAGGAAACCTGATGGAGAGTCTCATGGGATGGGAACACAGACACGCCAATCATGTACACCCCAGCATCTGGAACACGGACTGAAGAGGACAGAAACAGAAAACAAGCAAAATTACAAAAAAAGAAAGAGCTCTTTTAGAAAAACCTCCTACTAACTTTGATGTATTATAAAAAAATAAAATGAACACATTTCAGTCATGAGTCATCAACGTATCCCATGTGAAAATTGTACATGCCTGTTTGAACACGCCTGTTTGAACACGTCTGTTTGAACACTCTGAAAATTCATAAAATAATTTAAAATCTTACTTCTAACATACAAAGCTCTTAATAACCAAGCTCCGTCTTATATTAAAGATCATATTGTTCCATAATATCCTAACAGAGGATGCGGACTGCAGGTTTACTCGTGGTTCCTATAGTTAATAAAAATAAAATGGAAGCAAAAGCTTTCAGCCTGTTTTGTGTGGTGTATTTTTCCACTTGCAACATGCCATAAAATGACTTTTGTTGTGAATTGGTAATACATAAATAAACTAACTTAAATAGAAATGTTCCATACATGACAAAAAAAAAAAAAGCGTTAAAATCAAACATGACATTCTGTAAATTTCTTTTTACGAGTCTCTGCACATAAAATGTTATGTGAAATTGTTTTTTTCATCTTTTGGCTGCTCCCTCCCTCAGGGGTCGCCACAGTGAACTAACTCGCACAAAGACTTCATAGTTTTTACGCCGGATGCCCTTCCTGACGCAACCACAAACCGAGCTACCACAGCTCTCTGTGTGGAGCAGAGAGAGGGCACCCGGGGGGCTGATGGTGGGGGTTGATTAATTAGGATCAGAGCACTTTCTGATTTAATTTTCCTCTGAATATCACTGAATATCAGGACCGTCTGCTTTTCCTTTTGTGCTACAACCTAATTTACTGCCTGTAGGATTCATAATAAAGAAGACTGAGATTCGTAACTTCTGGGAAACTGAGGATAATTTACTTTTGTACAGAGTCTATAGTTTACATGTGTGTTGTGGGGTCTGAAAGCGTACCTTGTGAAATGTACTGGCAGAGGTAGGCCCGTTTGGCGTTGCACAGGTGTGAACTGGTCTGCCCGTGTTGATTAATGGACACACACAGGTTTCCAGGGGAGAAGGGAGAGCCAGGTCGCAGAGCCTCCTCGTCCTCCTGTGCCTCGGAGCCGTTCACCCATCGCAGTTTGCCCGGAGAGCTGACATCACTGAGGCCCAGCCACACACCTCGCTCCCTGGTGCAGAACAGATTTAAACAACAAATGATGTCAACGTGATCACGCCGTCAGACGAAAGCCAACCTTCTATGCGAAAGATTAAAACGTTAATGAGCGTCGATTGTCAGAAGTCGCACCAAATCCTGCGTGTGTCAGCTCGCAGTCGACAATTTTAGGCCCAAAGTGTGAAAAGAGGCTTTCGCTGAACTCAAGGGAGATGGACCAGATGGAGTGTCAAACATTTAATATGATCTCATAATTATGTGAAGTAATTTTCACTCTCACACAGCCAGTAAGCTCCACAAATCCCCCCACTTTCATTTTTCTTGCTGCTACAGAGAAGAAAAAGAAAAGCAAACATTTTGGACATTTTGTTTAACGCTGGTGTGGCCTGTCCAAAGATTCATTTACATATAAAATGTCCATTTTCCTACAAATGGTGTTTTTATACCATTTAGTTCCTCTTTTATTAGTTTTCTGTTTCAGTCAAACTACTTCTGCATACTTTTTTATTTTTATCATTTTAGTCATTCATTTATAAAATGTTCAAGTACTAGGACTTTGAATTTTTTGTAACTTTTGTACTTTTCAAACTGTTAAAAGTCATTGACAAACATTTAATGTACAAACCGGATTCCACAAAAGTTGGGACACTAAACAAATTGTGAATAAAAACTGAATGCAATGATGTGGAGATGGCAAATGTTAATATTTTATTCATAATATAACATAGATGACAGATCAAAAGTTTAATCTGAGTAAATGTAACATTTTAAAGGAAAAATATGTTGATTCAAAACTTCACAGTGTCAACAAATCCCAAAAAAGTTGGGACAAGTAGCAATAAGTGACTGGAAAAAGGAAATTGAGCATATAACGAACAGCTAGAAGACCAATTAACACTAAATAGGTCAATTGACAACATTATTGTAAAAAGAGCTTCTCAGAGTGTCAGTGGCTCTCAGAAGCCAAGATGGTAAGAGGATCACCAATTCCACTATTGTTGCGCAGAAAGATAGTGCAGCAATACCAGAATGGTGTTACCCAGCGTAAAATAGTAAAGACTTTTAAGTTATCATCATCAACCTTGCATAACATCATCAAAAGATTCAGAGAATCTGGAACAATCGCTGTGCGTAAGGGTCAAGGCCGTAAAACTCTACTGGATGCTCGTGATCTCCGGGCCCTTAAACGTCACTGCACCTCAAACAGGAATGTCACTGTCAAGGAAATAACAGAATGGGCTCAGGAATACTTCCAGAAAGCATTGTCAGTGAACACAATCCACCGTGCCATCCGTCGTTGCCAGCTGAAACTCTACAGTGCAAAGAGGAAGCCATTTCTAAGCAAGCTCCACAAGCTCAGAGGTTTGCACTGGGCCAGGGGTCATTTAAAATGGAGTGTGGCAAAATGGAAGACTGTTCTGTGGCCAGATGAGTCACGATTTGAAGTTCTTTATGGAACACTGGGACGCCATGTCATCCGGACCAGAGAAGACAAGGATAGCCCAAGTTGTTATCAACGCTCCGTTCAGAAGCCTGCATCACTGATGGTATGGGGTTGCATGAGCGCTTGTGGCATGGGCAGCTTGCATGTCTGGAAAGGCACCATTAATGCAGAGAACTATGTTCAGGTTCTAGAACAACATATGCTCCCATCTAGACGTCATCTCTTTCAGGGAAGACCCTGCATTTTTCAGCACGATAATGCCAGACCACATTCTGCAGCAATCACAACATCATGGCTACGTAGGAGAAGGATCCGGGTACTGAAATGGCCAGCCTGCAGTCCAGATCTTTCACCTATAGAGAACATTTGGCGCATCATAAAGAGGAAGGTGCGACAAAGAAGGCCTAAGACGACTGAACAGTTAGAGGCCTGTATTAGACATGAATGGGAGAGCGTTCCTATTTCTAAACTTGAGAAACTGGTCTCCTCTGTCCCCAGACGTCTGTTGAGTGTTGTAAGAAGAAGGGGGGATGCCACACAGTGGTAAAAATGGACTTGTCCCAACTTTTTTGGGATTTGTTGACGCCATGAAATTTGGAAACAACAGATTTTTCCCTTAAAATGATACATTCTCTCAGTTTAAACTTTTGATCTGTGATTTGTGTTCTATTCTGAATAAAATATTAGATGTTGGCACCTCCACATCATTGCATTCAGTTTTTATTCACAATTTGTTTAGTGTCCCAACTTTTTTGGAATCCGGTTTGTAATTTCAGTTCCCTCAAAAACCTTGTTGTTTAAACCTGCTTCAACAATTGGTCTAAATTTGTGTTTTCCAGCTCATTTTTCTTTATAAATACCATTTCCCCACTTCTAGCTTATAGCTAGTATTTTGACTTAACTAGCCTTTTGCTTCTTTTATCTAGCGTCCTGCTACTACTTTTTAGCCTTTTGCTACTTTATCTTTCATCTTGCCTTTTAGTTAGTCCTGTTACTTCTAGCATCTAGCTAGCATTGTGATGTTTTTGCCTTTAGGTCAATGTTCTGCTTCTTTTAGCTTTAACAACTCTGTTTCAGCTCCTGCAGCAAATTTCAGCAAAGCTGTCCAGCACTCAGCATCTATACTGTGTTTTTACAAGAAATAGAAGCATTTAGCTGCTTTATAAGTCACTCGTTGCTGTGAAAATATCACACCGGAGGAAAATAATTAAAACTTACAAAAAGTAACAAAGCAAGAAAATTAGTATTTGAAAATTATTTTAATTTCTTTTATAAATAAGTCGGAGGAGGAGAAGGGGTTCTCTGCAGACTGAAAGTAGGCGTTTCTAAAGGGCAAATGACTGAGTGGCTAGCTCAGTGCTTCTCAATTATTTTTGGTTATGCCCCCACTAGGAAGAAGTAAACATTTTGCGCCCCCCCAACTCTTCGCCGCGACTGTAAATAGTATAATTTGTCTAAAAAAAATTTATAAATACACCTCTGCATAACATTGTACCCTTATTAACATTAAATAAAAAAGAAATAAATATACAAAGTAGTTCAACTTGCAACAAAGATTATTAACATTGTTTTATAGTCTGTAACAGAAAAGGCTTAAAGTGCATCAATTTGCCTGAAATTAAAAAAATATATATCCTTATTTAAACTGTAAACATTTTTGACCATTTGATACTGAACAATCAAATTAAATACAATCAATAAATAATTATAAATTCAAATTGATCAGTAACATTTTAAGTCGGGAGTGTTATATACAACACTTTGACTTACAAAACAAAAATGAATAAAACAATTTGTGCAGATTTTTTTTTAATAAAAAAGTGTGTGTGTGGGCGGGGGCGGGGGGGGGGGGGTGTGTCCAGGGGAATGCGCTCACAAGAGAAGAAACTGACAAGTTGTTTAATGACAAAATATATTTTGTTAGCAAAGAGTAGAGTCCTAACATTTGTTAAACATCTGTTTTTATAACATATTAAAAAAAACATCAAACTTGTGCTTTGGCAATCGATAAAACTAAAACATTTTGTCATCGCGAAAGAGGAAAGAGGGGGCAGGTGTCGCTCTCGCTTTGAGTTTATACTCTTTGTTGATGCATGCTGTGGGTGAAATGCGTTCAGAGCGGAGGACTTGTTAGCAAAGAATAGAGTCCTAACATTTATTAAACATTATTTCTGTATTTAAAAACACACAAAAATTGTGCTTTGACAAACTAAAAAAAAATTGTTAAAGTAAAAGAGTCAAGTCAAGTCAAGTCATCTTTATTTGTAGAGCACAATTTAAAACAGATAAACTGTTATCAAAGTGCTTAACAGAAATGTAGCAAAACATAGGCAGCAAAACAAAAACATCATACAGAATTAAAAGTACTGGAGCAATAACACACACTAATGATCACACTAAGGAAAAACAAGCAGTAAAAATAAACGTCAATCATAAAACAACAGAATTTAAAATGAGGTAACACAGAACAAAATAAACTAACTCACACAGTATTAAACGCCAGAGCAAACAGGTGCGTTTTAAGGAGGGATTTGAACATCAGGAGGGAGGAGGCCTGCCTGATGTTGAGGGGCAGGTTGTTCCACAGGTTGGGACCTCTGACTGAAAAAGCTCGATCCCCTCGGAGCTTCAGGCGTGATTTTGGAACGACCAAAAGAAGCTGGTCCGATGATCTCAGGGCCCGAGATGGAACATATGGTTCCAGGAGCTCGGAGAGGTAGAGGGGTGCGAGGCCATTTAGGCACTTATATGTCAGGAGGAGAATCTTGAAGTCGATTCTGGATCGCACAGGAAGCCAGTGAAGGGAGGACAGAACAGGTGTGATGTGCTCAGACCTACGTGTACCAGTTAAAAGCCGAGCAGCTGCATTTTGGACGAGCTGGAGACGTGAAATGGACGCCTGACTGACCCCAGCATAAAGTGAGTTACAAAGAGGGGCAGGTAACGCTCTCGCTTTGAGTTTATTCTCTGTCGCATGCATGCTGTGGGTGACAAGCGTCCGGAGAGTCACCAGCTGAGGAGGTGTCAGCGACACGGTTCAAGCATGGCTCCTCAAACAACAAGACAGACATATTTGTTCATAACTTTATTATTAGTGAGCCTGAGAGTTGCCGGATTTGAGCAAACAGTTGCCAAACGCACCCTAACACAATGAAAATGGTGCCAAAAAAAAAAAAAAACTAATCCCTGCCGCAAAATGTTCCCGGGGTCACATGCCTGTGGGTACAATGAAATATGAAGCATCTGAAGCAAAAACTGCTCCCATTTGTTAAAAAGTCTGATCTCAATTAAAGATCGCGAGTCCTGTAACGAGATAATGGCCCAAAACAAAAGCTAAAAACAAAATTTGCTCTTTAGAAGTTCTTCTATGAGATCTGATCTATGAAAGGAGCTGAAACATGGAGTAGGACTGACCCTTAAAATGTGAGACAGCTGAGGAAGTTAACCAGTAAACAGAAATACCTGCTCCAGTTGCAGAAATCTGACAGAAACTGACAATCACTCATCTGCAGTGACTGCAGGTTGAACAAGAAATGTGAAGTTAAATGTAACATCCTTTGTCGCAAAACCAGTTTAATTATCATGATTATTTTGGTTACTTTATTTTTCTTTTTTTATGAATCGATTGTAACTATTTTCACATTATTCAACAACCAAAACAGATTTTGTTTTTTAATGTAATGGCTAGGTATTACAAAACAAACATTTAGCCCTCACCACTAACCATTTATGCTGCTCTTATTTTGAAATGTAACCAGAAGTAACCCTTGAGTAACGCCTTGTTTTTCTTAATTTAAATCAGATGTGGCCCTTGAGTAACGCCTCGTTTTGTTTCTTCTAATAAGATGTGGCCCTTGAGAAACGCCTCGTTTTGTTTCGTCCAATCAGGTGTGGCCCTTGAGATACACTTTTTTTGGAAACGCCTATTTGTCTGCAGAGATACCTATTTGCGGAGGAGTGGCTCCACCCTCATTTGCCCCAATCTGGGCCCTTGAGCAAGGCCCTTACTCCCATCCTCTGCTCCCCCAGACATACTGGATAGCAGCTCTCTGCTCCACACAGAGGGCTGTAGTAGCTCGATGATCTGGGATAGCATCAGGAAGGGCATCCGGCGTTAAAAAAAACAACTGTCAAGTCTTTGTGCGAGTTAGTTTGCTGTGGCGACCCCTAAAGCAGGGAACAGCCGAAAGGAAAGAAAAGAATGAAAAAAACTCTTTACGTTACAATACGACACACACATGTACGCACACACACACTTGGATGTGGACTTTCTCCAAGGGTTTTTTACGTCACAGAGCAGCTGTGCTTTTACAGATGTGTTCTTGAAACTTTCTTACACCTAAACATAAAAAACTTGAGGTCATGAGGCCAACAAAACTTTTCCAAAACAAAAGCAGGATCCAAAGTTTAGTGTCCATATGCACTTCTTCACAATGTGTTTTACTTGTTTAATGACTCATCCTGATAAAAAATTACATGTTTTTAGGAAAATCGGTTGTAAATTCTATATTTTATGAACCAGAGAACAAATAAAATGCAAAGCAAACTCAAAATAAACTATTAATACTGAGGAGATGTATTTGTTTAACTGAGCCACTAGCCTTTATAGTTCACTTGACAACAGCCAAATATAAACAGACTTATAAAGTCACATTCTGTCAAATGAGTTGCCAAAAACAAGCATGAAGATGTAAGAAAAACACTTTATGCACAAGTTGCTCTTTAAACAATGTCTCATGTCCCAAGTCTGTCTCCAAGTTTTTAGTGTGTAATTTTTATCACAGTTTGTAATGCAAACTTCACACAGTGAGAAGGAGCTGGTAGGGTTGTGAGACAACTCCCTGAATTATTACTTGTTTTTAAAGATGTATATATTGACATCTGAAGTATTGCTCTGTCCTGTACAGATTCACAGAAACATACTAAAGATATCACAAAATCATTAAATAAACTGGAGGGATAATCTTGGAGGGAAACAATAGCAGAAACTGGACGTTTGTGGACTTGGAAAAGGATTTCGACAGAGTCCTGCGAGAGGTGTTTTACTGAAGCCTCAGACAAAAAGGCATTACGGAGAATCTAGTTTGGATTATTAGTTCCTTCTACGAAGAATTTAAAAATAACAGGCAGAACTGGCAAAAGGCAACACAACAGCATTTGAGATTAAAGTTGGCGTTCATCAAGGTTCATGTCTCAGCCCACTGTTGTTTATTGACGAGACCATGGTCTGCTTGAAAGCTAACGAGACCTTAATAATTACTGATAATAGAGGAAATATACTGAAGCAGGATGAAACTTTCAAGTATCTGGGGTCAGTGATAAATGCCAAAGGAAACTGTGAAGAAGACGTTAAACACAGAATTGGTGCGGTGCGGCAAAAATGGAAGGAGCTGACAGGAGTGCTTTGTGACAAAAGGATGCAGATTCATATTAAAGGAAAAGTGTACAAGATGATGGTGCACCCAGTCTTGCTTTGTGGAGCTGAGGTATGGACATTAAAGAGGAAGGAAGAGGAACTCCTGGAAAGAACAGAAATGCAGATTCTACATGGGATTCTTGGGAGTATTCCTCAAGGATAGATGGCGAAATGACGATATCAGAAAAAGGCTTGGCGTGGCATGCATCACGGATAAGATACAGGAGTCAAGAATGAGGTGGTATGGGCATGTGCAGCGAATGGAAGATAACAACAAGGTAAAAAGGCTATGAAAAGCAGAAGTTTTCGGTCATGAAGCAGGAGACGGCAGAAGAGGTAGATAGATATTATCCAGCAGGATATGAAGACACTCCATCTCACAACAGATGATACACAAAACAGAGCAAAATGGAGAAGAATTCATGTGGCTGACCCTGCTCCAAAAAGAGCGGGACCTAAAGCCTGAAGGAGAGAAAGATATTGACATCTGAAGTGTTACTTGGTCCAATTCAGATTCACACACAAGAAAATAAACAACACAAAATCATTAAGTAAACTGACTGCATGAAGTTATAAAAAAGGACTTCAGCCACATCAAGACTCACTGCGTGACTTTGTTTGCCAGCAGGTTACGCAGAGCGTCACTCCTGACTATAGCCAGATCCCCGCCGCGGTTCAGACACTGCCGCCGAGCGTCCGTCCAGCTCAGCTCCTCCTGAAGGATCTCGAAGCAGCTTGAGGACTCGTCGTGGCGCACTCCATCGTCTGGGCAGTTAGGAGAGGCTGGCAGAGAAAAACACACGTAGACCCAATTCCTCAGATATTACACTTGCATGAGTTAGGTGCTTAAAAATACGTAAAAGCGTGGAATAAATGCTAACACTTAAAACAGTATTTAACAGATCAATAACTTTAATGTTTTTTTGTTAAACATTTAAGGCACAATTCCTGATAAAGTAATTAGCCCTCAAATGTATTTTTATAAGAACATTAAACTTTGGATGTGCTCCAAGTGTTTTACAACACAAAAGAAACACAAAAAATGTTTAGGTGTTGGTGAAAAAAAAGAAAAGAAATACCTACATAAGACTATCAAAATATTGCCGTAACAATCATTGTCTTTTATATCAGAAATCTAGGAGAAGTAGCATATTTCTTAAACTACTGTGGAAAAACTAATTTAACAATATTTCAAAGAAAAAAAAAACTCTTACACAAAAATGCCAGAGAAAGTTTCGATAAAAAGACAAAACTGCGAGAAATTGTTAGATAATGTCACGGCACAAAGTCAAGGATGCAAAGAGTGATGGGTTTGTTGGCAAACAGGATTTTTAAAGTAAATGCAAAAAATAAATGGTTTTGTGTACGCGCAAGAAAATTAAAGATAATAATTGAAAAAGAGCTCAGATTCCAGAGGGGAGACAGACAGATTCAAGGTTTTAATTTTCACAAATAAAATCCAAAAAAAAGGCAGCACAAACAGTTCATTACATGACAGGATGATAGTAAACACCCAACGGTGCCATTCTAGCATTTGAGCTTTTTTTTGTCTTATTGTTTGAGTTTCCAGCCCTGCTCTGCTTTACTTTTACTGATGTCATTGTGTGTGTTTAGGACAGCTGCAGGCAGATGTTTTTATTAACCGACTTTCTAAACTCGAGGTAAAACACCTGATCAGTGCTGGACAAAACCAGACAAAATCAGTGATTCACTGGTGAATCTAGCAGAGCGTTTATTACCATTAATCGAAAGTGAGCAGAGTCCCCATCACCCCCCCCCCACCCACCCCCAACCGGCTTAATCATCTTACCTTCAAACAATTTTTATGAATAAAATACAGCATTCCCCATAAAATGTTTCGTCTATAGACACCATGGGTGGATATATTGTGCTTTTCCCCCCAGAAAGAGATTAAAAAAAAGAGTTGCAGATATATAGAAAATACACTTACACTGCCCCCCCCCCCCCCCCAAATTTCCATCTTATAATGCATTACTACGTTATTATCTATTAGTACTACATTATCTGTTTTTTTAATATTCTCTGTTATTTTTTTAATATCTTGTGTGATTCCTAGTGTATGTTCCTTTGTACTGAAACTCTGGCACAACAATTTCCTGCGGGATCAATAAAAGTTCTATCTTATCTTATATTCAGTGTTTGGCCTACCGAACCAAACTGCATGCACCCCCCCACCCCACCCTGTCGGCTTTGACGTAGCGCTAAGCTAGTGGCGCACAATACAAGCATGCAAGCTAAAAAGCTAAAGGCAGCCCTCAAGCAGCCTCTTCCCTCATGCTGACGCCACCCTCTCTGCCCCTCCCCCGCTCGAAAACTGTTGTCGATACAAACAGCGCAGCTCAGACGTGTCTCCTCCATCCCCCCCACCCCCCTCTCTCCCCCCGACATAAATCACGGACGAGATGAATGCCCTGCCATCGCAAGTTATCTAGGTGAAACACAGATATTGTTCCATACTTTCCCAACAGAGCACTTTGCTGCCAGACTGCGAGTTTACTTGTGTTTCCTAGAGTTTCTAAAAGTAGAGTGGGAGGTTGAGGCTCCCCTGTTGTGGAACCAACTTCCAGTTTGTGTCCATGAGGCTGACACTTTAAGACTAGGATTAAGATCTTCTTATTGATGAAATGTATAGTTGGGGTTATCTCGGGTTTCCTGAGTTATCCTTTAATTATGCTGCTATAAGCCGCCTGTCAGAGGATGCACTGACCACAGATCTTTGATCTGCTTCACTCTTTGTGTTTGCATTTATAAACATTACTGCTAATAACGTTGTGTTTTTCCCGTAGTAGCTACAACAGGAGCAATCTCATCGCTTTGTCTCTTTCTTGTCCTCTCAACCTGCAGACAGCCACTCATTCAGAGCCTGGTTCTCTCCTTCTTCCTGTTAAAACTGAGTCGTTTCTTTCCACTGTCACCTCTGTGCTGCCTGGGAGATTATGCCAAAGTAATGGTTTGTTGCAATATGCTGGTTTTCTTAGGTAAATAACTGAGGAATAGGCTGTAATCTTGCTATATAATATTACGTATTGAATTATCTCCCAGCGATACGGTGGCGCATTTGGTAGAGCTGTTGCCTCTCAGCAAGAAGGTTGCTAGATAAAATCCCAGCAGGGGGTCGTTCTATGGGGAGTCTGGATGTTTTCTCTGTGCATGAGTTTTCTATAAATTGTCCCTAGGTGAGAGCGTGAGTGGTTGTTTATCTCATTAAAAGTTCATGCTCAATAACAAACAAAGTTCAGTCAGGTCCTCTGGACAGTTTATTTTATGTTGACACATTTTGTCCTTCATCCAAAGGACTTCATCAGCCCCTTGGCCTGATGAAGTCCTTTGGATCCAAATAGCAGAAATCTGCTATTTAGATATTTTTACCAGTGGGGATTGTTTATCACATCATTATATTATAATTATTTTTTCACTTTTTGATTTTTGTACCCTTATTTCATGCTTTAGTATTTCTTGTTTATTCTTTTTTTTTTAGCAAGTCAAATCGGTTCTCCTCATCCTGAGCATTTCATTGTACCGTTAAGCTTGTGTTAACCTGGCATATGACAAATAAACACAACTTGAACTTGAATCTATTTAGGAACTACTGTTTGAGAAATGTTACCTTGAACATCAGTGACTGTATTTGTGTATTTGTACGTATCCTTTCAGTTTCCCTGGTGACACTCATCCACATCAGGCTAAAATTCAAATTTGCGTCAGCAGAAGAACACAAACTAAATGGATGTTGACTAACACGAGCAGTTCACAGTCAAGTAAAAACAAATAAAACGTATTAAACAAGCAAGAACCCCTCACTTCAACACCAATGGCTGCTCAGAGTTCGAGTTTTGTTACCTTTGGCGACCTGGACGCCGTCTTTCGTGATCGCCCACTCCACATCCATGCCAACACCGCCCCAACTGACGAGCGTGACATCAAGACTCTTATTGGCCACAACGAGATCTGGACAGTGTAGTTCTAGTTTGGGAGGAAGGGTCACGCTCACTTGTGTGCGTGCAGACGCCTGAAAACACAAAATTGCACAGAAAGTTACCACAAAAATATTTTTAAAGCAGCTATTCTTACAGTCTCGAAAGACAATTTAAAAAAACACCTCCATGTGGTTTGTTTAATGAAAATGTGCAAACGGCTAACTGATGCATAAATATGAAATATTTTGCAGCTTACCTCTTTGTGTCCCACCCAGGCCATCAAACTGACTGCATAGCGTCCTGGAAGTCCGTATTTGTGCGCTGCTGCGGCGGCACCTGCTCCTGTGGTGTTGACCCGAGACGAAAGGTCGCCGAACTCCCAGGAGAGCGTGACAGGCGTGACAGAGGAGGCGGCGGAGAAAAGGATTCGGTCGTGAACACTTTGCAGCGGGAGAGGTCGTATCGAGACGGAGAACTCCACCGCAAACACATCACGAGCCAGAGTCCACCCACAGTCCTGTCGATGGAAGGAAAGTATGTGAGGGAGACGAGGTTTTGGTGTTAATATGGACGAGCATTTAAAAGTCAAATGAAACCAGTTTCCTGTTATTTGCGGAGATATTTGTGGTTTCACTATTATTTTATGGGCTTAAATACAAACAAAAGGAAACATATGAACTGAATGAATGTAAAACAAACAGTTCTTAGATTTTACTCTGAAATTTTGGATAACTCTTTGAGTTGCAGTCCTTAAAATAACTAAATCTGAGAACACGGGAAGCCACAAAGGAAAGACAGAAGTTGAAAGACACCACTGAGGAGGACGTCTCTGGTAGAAGCTTTATCATGCAATGACTGACTGGTTGACTAAAGCTGTTTACTCAAAGCATTAAAAGCCAAAAACTGACTTCATTCAGTTGGTCAGTGAGCGAGGCGTACCATCATAACGTCGGGATTCGTGCAGGCAGCTGAACACCGAGAGCCGCTGATGAAGTTGGGCTCATTGTTTGTGCTGCAAAGACACTCGCGTCTGTTTCCCAAGCCGCCGTAGAGGTGCGATGAACCAAAACACAAACTGTTGCACTGCTCACGCGTGTAGTTTCCAGGGTTGGATAAAGTGAAGATCACAAGCTCACTTCGTCCTCCTCCTCCTCCGCTGCCACCGTCTTCAAGACAACCGGCGTAGCTTGAACCTGGAGCACGGAGAAAAGATTTGAGGCTAGACAGCAAAAGGTGTATTTCTTTAATGGACCGTCAGTCAAAACCTGAAAAATGTTCCTTGGTTACAATTTGGCCACACGAGCGACATGGATTGTTTATTTTAAATAAATTATTTAAAATGATTTAGCACCTGTTGCACCTGTGTGCAGCTCAATGCGTCTGGACAGCAAAGGGTTAATCACGGAGCTGCTTCAGCCAGAGGAGAAATGTGGGCGTGGCAGAGAGCCGCAGGTGGCAGAGAGTGGAGATCATGACAGGCTGCAGAGGGAGCTTCTCCCTGCACCTGTGGGCTGCACACAGGTGCAACAGGTGCTAAATCCTTTTAAATAATTTATTTTAAATAAACAATCCATGTTGCTCGTGTGGCTCATCCATCAATCAGCCAATTGTGTGTCATGTCCACTCTTACTTTGAAAAACTGCGAAAGTCGAACCGCGAAGCATAGGCGTCGCAACCATTATATGTGAAGGGGACAAGTCCCCCCACATTAAAAATAAAAAAAAGGTTAATTTGGACCCCCCCCCCACACACACACACACACACACTTTTACTATAAAACATTAGTTCAAGCGGCAAAGTTTCTCTTTCTTCGTGAACAAATCCATTCCACTTGATTAATAGGATAACACTCAAGCTACTAAAACTCCACTCCAGGTTTTCCTGGTTACCTCCAACTCGCCACTGTCCCTTCCTGCCTCTTGCCTCAGCAGAAAACGCGCACAGGTGGAGGAGGTGGAGGTACCTGTGTTACTCACTCGCCAGTTTAACGAGCTTAGTGCGGGCAGTGGTTGACCAGGGGGTTGATCATAAACATATATTCATGTTAGGAGGATGCTTGAGAGGAGCGCTACGTCTGTAGCATGTTAGCTTAGCAGTAACTGTGACGCTGTAAGACGCTGCAGGTGTAAGAGACGTGGTGTGTTCAGGTGCATTAAAGTTGAAATGTCTTTAAAACCCCACACCTTATTGTCCTCAAGCTTCACGAGAAACAGCATTTAGATGAGTGTTGAACACAAGTAAAAAAAAAGTCCAGTGGTGAAGTTTTTTATTTCACAAAGACAAATAGTGCTGATCTGACGCTCTGTGTTAAAGTGTATTAAAGTTAAAATGTCTTTAAAATCCACAGCTGAATTTACACAAACTTGGTGAGAAACATGCTTTAAATGTGTGGAATTAAAGGAAATCTAGGTGAAATGCTGCTTTTTTGTTCACTTGTGAACGCCTTTTTTTTTTTACGTGCGCACACACGCACACACACATCATTGTGTCCCCGCCCACATTACGGATGCTTCTGACGCCCTTGCCGCGAAGTAGCGAGTGACTACCGTACGTCAAAAACAAGAAACCGCTGAAAAAGTAAAAATCTAACAATTTGATTTAATAAATAATCAACAAAGTTTCATGAAACCTCAGAGCTGTGACAGTTTTAGCTGTTTTCTGTCTTTTGTAACAAGTCTTGGACTTTTCGACACTCAGTGGAGTTACTCAAGATTTACACTCGGTGACATCTCACACATTCCTGACTGTTTTTAATTCTTAGATTTGCACTTAGTAAGGCTTTAAAACAAAAAGTGACGACGTAGTTCAAAGTCAAAGTTTCTTTACTCGTCATTCGCACCATATGTGGTACATGTGGTGGAACGAAATTGTGTACAAAAAAATTGTGTTCACCTTTACAATGCATTTTTAAAGACTTGATATTTATTTACACTAAGTCTGTATGTCGGCAAACTATTTTCTTTCCATATCATACTAGCAAACAAGATTGTTGGAGTTGGATTTCTTACCACAGGCGAGCGAGCTGACATTGAGCAACGGCTTGTGGTGCAGTTGAAGGGGGTGGTTGCACAGCATGGCATGGGGGCGTCTAATTTGCACACCTTTTTCCTGGAGCCACTTCACCAACCTGAACAGCTTGCAGTCGCACTCAAAAGGGTTGCTGCTCAGGTCACTGGAGGAGACAAGGACACGACTGAAGTGACGGGACGCCAAAACAACGTTAATGAGCTCCACGGAAGCTAACGGAGCTAAACTGCTACCTTTTAGAAATGGTCACATTAACAAATTATAAAAAGGAAAAAAAATGGGATTAAGCTCGTTTATAACAAAGAAGGCAATTTAGAAAAAGTTTATTTAAAGAAAAAGCAGAAAACAAAACTAAATGGAAAGTAAAAAGCAAAGAGTTTGATGCCACAAAATATCAAAGCAAATGACTGGTGGGTTATAATACACAGGACTGTTGCAGATTATTGGTTATTTTCTAGTGTCATTTTAATCCTATTTTAAATTTCTCCATGCTTTTAGAGACAAAGAGATGAAAGAAAAACAATAAAGCGTTACCACTTACATTTTTGTTAAATTACAAAGGTTGTCACATTTTCTTTCTTCTATGGTGGTAATTTGGTTGTTGCTCAAATCTCTGGTGGCAGGAACAAAGAGACAAAACACAGTTCACAATAAAACAACAAAAAGAAGACATTTTCTTTTGATTTTGGACAGCACCGACATTAACGACTGGTTTATAATGTTTGGATTGTGGCGTCGATTTCTGTTGGGCGAGTTTGCCACGGAGCAAAAAAAAAAACCTCAAAGTCAGCAAAAAGTTGTTGGACTGGTGAGAATGTAAAATAGAAATACTGCTTCAAAATCCATTTCTACAATGATGCAAAGGACTTTTATTTTTTATTTATTTAAATTAAATGACACACTCAACAGAACATCTAAAGCAGTTTTTAGATAAAATCCCAATCCTAAACATTTAAAGCAATTTTCAACTGCAACCGAGACCGTATTTTTCCGTTTCCTTCCATCTGCATCCTTTATACGCATCTCTCCTTCCCTCTTTTCACCCTGTTCAATCGTTTCCTTCTCCACTTGAAGCTCCGGACTCCCCTCCTCCCTCACTAAAGCTAAATAATGGGACCGTTGTGTGGTGGTTTGGACGGAGCTGATGGAAACCAGCAGACTGCTCTCATCACACACACACATAAACATGTGCTTAAACGCCCATTCATTGAGGGGAATAAGGTAATGGATGAAGGAGATAGAAAGATGAAAAGAGGGGGAGCCCCGAGCAGTAAGCTGTAATTGAACTTAATCATGCTGTGATTAGAGTGTAGGTATTTGTGTGAGGCTTTTCTGAAGCTCTGTGGTCGAGCTGAAGTGCTCATGGGATTTCAGCCTACTTAAATCCAGACTAAACCAAGCTTCTTTTTCCTTGGTGCTCTTTTCATCTTCCTCAGTTTCTTCTCTTAAGCTTGACATTGTCCTCTGGCTTTATACTTACAGGACTGAAAGTGTCCCGCAACAAAACACTCCTCTGGGGAGAACGTTGATTCGGTTTCCTTGGAGGTACCTGAGAAGAAAAACATGAATAAATATTACCACAGATTCCCGATACCATGATTTACGTTACCGTACTTGCCGCCGTACACGTCGCACCGCCGTATAAGTTGCATCAGTTCAAATATGTCTAATCATTTGGAAAAAAAACATAAATAAGTTGCTTTGGCGTATAATTGCATCTATTATCCGTCACTGCTGACCACCTGGAAATGTGGGCCGGTGTTGTACAAATCGATTGGCTAACAAATGGAAATTTGACAAGATTAACTCCTAAAAACAATTATTTGTTTGCTCGACATTATAGCAAAGGTGTCTCTCAGTTGAACTTTTCCTTAATAAATGCACTTTAATGGTCAAATCAGCTGAATTTCGGCTGGGTGGCGCAGCGAAATGCAGCCGATTTGACGTTTGCTCCAGGAGTTCCTGAATGAGACGAAGGTGGCTTTGTATGGCAAGCCAAGTGTGTCATTAATAGCCACTTTTACTTATTAATGAGACATTTGGCTTATCATATTGGTTGAGGGCCCTCTAGCGACTGCAAATGGTAATGTTTAATATTTTTTCATGTCAGAATGAATTAAATCGTCAGATCTCAGACATAAATTGGTTTATAAATATGGGGGAAAATGGATATTAGTTGCTTCGGTGTATAAGTTGCAGGACTTGCAAATTTATGCAACAAGGTTGGACTTATATAGCAAAAAAATACGGCATATAGAATCTGTATAATTTAGTATTTTTAAAAGGTGAACACAACTATGAGTAGAATGCATTTTATTCTTTAGGAATAGCTTTAAAAAGGTTTGTCAATTTAATTAATTTTTATGACGTTCAGATACGAGCTGGCGGTAGTGTCATGGTTTGGGCCTGTTCTGTTTAATCTGAATCACAACACCTTCTACATTTGGAAGGATGAGAAAAATTAACGGTGACTGAGTCCATAGAATACTCTGCAGACTAATGTATATAAAATATTTCTATAGATTTTTTTAAGAAAACTCATTTTTGTGTGGCCTGGTACCAAATGATCCACAAACTCGTACTGGTCCCTGGTTAAGAGAACATGAATGCTGATTTGCAGTTCTTGCACATACTGTTGATTAATAACAAACAAGTAAAATTAATTAATTTTCAAATAAAAATAGATTGAAAAAAAGAGAATATAAAATGCTAAAGTGCATTTCAGATTATTCCTTCATTTGTTCTCTTTCATCTCATCTAAGATTTGTGTGGAAACCTCATATCTTCAGGTCAAATTCAAGCAGGAATGCAGAAAATGCTCAAAGTTTCACCACGCCCATGGACAGATGAATGGATAAAGTGAAATTAGTTGGACACGTTGTTGCACAACAGTTTGTTTACTCACAGCTCTCGGAGGCCCGTGAGACGATCCAACAGGCTGGTATCAAGGGAGGAGATGTGGTTCTTGGACAGATCTCTGTAGGAACAAAGCCACATGTCTACATTTCAAACAATGCATTTGCTCACAATGACATCCAAACAAAATATCACTGTCTGTTAAAGTAAACTAGAGAAATTGCATTTCCTGCGAAAATGCAGTGTGAATGCTTATTGCAGAAGAACTTGGTAAAAAACAGCAAAAAATTTGCTAAAAATATGCTGAAATGTAGCTGAAATTGAAGAACAAGCTTAAGTCAGCAGAAGAAAGCAGAAAGAAAACATATTTGCTTTAGATTTAAATAAGCAGAAATTATCACAAAAATTAGGAAACTAGCTAAAAAAAAGAAGAAGCTTAAATTAGCCAAAAAAAAGAAGATGAAAAGGCAGAAAGAAGCTTAAACTACCAGGAGGAAGTGGAAGGAGTTGAAAAAGCTGAAACTAGTATAAAACAGCTAAAAAGTAGCAAAATAGCAGAAAAAGCTGAAACTATCAGAAAAAAAAGCTGAAAAGAGCTGAAATTATCACTAAAATTGGATATATCTGAAAACAGCTGAAAATGGCTGAAAAAAATGCTAAAATGCTTTAAAAAGTAGCTGAAAGGGTAGAACAAGCTTAAATTAGCAGACGAAAGCAGAAAGAAAACTTATTTGCTAAATTAAATTTAAATAAACAGAAATTATCACAAAAATTAGGAAAATAGCGTTTAAAAAAAGCTTAAATTAGCAACAAAAAAAAATTTGCTGAAATGTAGCTGAAAGGCAGAAAGAAGCTTAAACTACCAGGAGGAAGTGGAAGGAGCTGAAAATGCTAAATTTAGCACAAACCAGCTAAAAAGTGGCTGAAATAGTAGAAAAAGCTGAAACTATCAATAAAAACTGAATTGAGCTGAAATTACCATAACAAATCTTGGATTTATCTGAAAACAGCTGAAACTAGCTGAAAAATGCTAAAATGCTAAAGAAAAAAGTAGCTGAAAAAGGTAGAACATACATTAACAGAAGAAAGCAGAAAGAACACATTTGCTGAAAGAAGCAGAAACGAGCACTAAATAGTGGAAATTATAGGAAAAAAAGCTGAAATTAGCAACAGAAATTGCTAAAAAAGTAGCTACAAATCAGAAAGAATCTTAAATAACCAGATAGAAGTGCAGAGAGCACATTTTTGCTGAATTAGGCTGAAAAAAGTTTAAATGAGTGCAAAAAAAAGTGGAATTAGCCAAAAAAATTAAAATTAGCATAAAAAAACAGCTAAATAGTAGCTGAAATAGCAGAAAAAGATGAAATTTACAGAAATCAGCTGAAAGGAGCATAATAAGCTGAAATTAGAAGAAAGACGTTAGAAGAAGCACAAAAAATTTGTAGTTAGCAGAAAGAATATGAAAGGAGCATAAAACAGCTGAAAAAACAGCTGAAGTTAGCTGAAAAAAGTTAAAATTTGCACAAGGAAGCTGAAAGAAGCTGAACCAGAACAAAATGTGAAAGGAGCAGTAAAATGTTGTAAACAGATCTAAAGATTTGAAGGATGTAAAATGAGCTCAATTCATTTTCTATGAGAAAAAAGTGTCAGAAAACGCTAAATATTTAAATAAGCTAAAGTTGCACCAATACCAAAAGTCATAGCACCCTTCTCCTAAAGGAGCCGATTGTTTTGACATATGATTTGTTGAAATACAAAAATTGTGGAACAAAAAAGATGCTGAAAAATGTACGGAAGAAAAACGGATCACAATAGTGTGCATGCTTCATATACATTCACACTATTCGTTTTTAATGTGATTGTTAAAAGCTCCAAAAGTTTTAGACTTGTGCAGGTGTTTGTTTGTTTCCAACAGTTCAGATTTTTTTGTTCAATATTTACAGCATTCAAAAAGAAATGTTGCAAAGTTAGAAAAATTAGCTTTCACACGGAACAGTTATGCGTCATGTTACTGATTTATTTTTCCATCTATCCATCCATTCTTTATTATGCGCTTCTACTTTCCAGGTCCCTCCTCCAGCCGTCACTGTGCTAGAGCTTTGGGATACCCTGCTGGACAGGTCATAAGGCCATGATGGGGACACAGAGACAAACGAGACAAATGACCACTCACATGCTCACCCACACCTAGGAACAATTTAGAGTTACCAATTAACCTAACAGAGGTGGTAAGCCTGGTTCACTTTGGACTGGGGTTAATCTGAGTCAACTAATAAAATGACACAATTCACTTGAGTCCATCACGCTACGTTACAACTCAGTGGAGTCTTACTGATGAGTTTTACCCAAATCAGTGACCCAACTCATTGAGACCAAAGCATTTCCAGTGGGTTATTAACTTGACTCACCTGAGTCAGCAGCATTTTCTGGCATTTATTTTACTTGACTTAGGAGCATATAATGAATTTGAGCCCACAGGGTTTTAGATGTTTTTCCAGCCAATCCTTTAACCCGGGGACTTAGCGGCAGTCTGGCAGCACATGTACGATCTGGGTTCATTGAAATCTCAGACTCATAAATCCCGATTCAATGTGAGGATTCAGATTATTAACCTTGGTGAGTCAGTAATCGACCAGTTCTACCTTAAATGTATGGGTTTTTTTTCTTACTGGGGTCTGTGGGATAAAGCATAGGTAATGGAAAAGAACAGGAAAGTTCTACACAAAGCCCCCAGACCTGGAGGCGAACCTGCGACCTTCTCAGTGAGAGGCGACTGCTCTAACCACTGCCCCGCTATGGTGCCTGATTTATTTTTCTATAAAACAAAACAACTTCATGAAGATCCTCCAGGAATGATGATTTTATGTTTTGACGGGTGTTTTTGTTGTTGAGGGCCCATCAATGTCCTGCTAGTTCTATTCAAACTTTCAACATGGCACTAAATAAAAAGTCCAAAGCAAGAATATTTATATAAAGTTACACAGTCAAAAAGTAACAGCAATATTTTGTTAATTTAGCCTTTCACAATTTTAATTTTTTTTTCAAAGTCATATTATCACCATGTCATTCATACATTGATAAATGTCATAGTTCCAAAGTAAATATTTAATTTACAAGCTATATATTTATTTTCAAAATTAACATTTAATTTCCAAACTAAATATTTATTGTCCAAGCTAAATATTTAAATTCCAAACTAAACATTTGATTTCTAAGCTAAACATTTAATTCCTGAACTAAATATTTAATTTTTAATTTTAATTTTTCTAAATATTTTAATTTGCCTACTAAATATTTAGCTTGGACCTAAATATTTAACTTGCTAGTTAACTTGCTAGTTAAATATTTAGCTAAATATTTAACTTGCAAGTTAAAATATTTAGGTCTGATCTAAATATTTAGTTAGCAAATTAAATATTTAGCTTAGGAAGTAAACGTTTAGCTTAAAAATCAAATGTTTAGTTTGGAAACTAAATATTTAGCTTGAACAATACATATTTAGCTTGTAAATTAAATATTTAATTTACACCTGCAAGTATTTAGTTTGTAAGCTAAATATTTAGCTTGTAAATTAAATATTTAGTTTGGAACCATTTATAAATGTATGAATAACATGGTGAAAATACGACTTTGGAAAAAATAACTTTTTCTTATGAAACTCTAAATAAACCAAAATATTGCTGTTAATTTTGACTGTGTAACTTTACAAATGGCATCCCATAAATATTTTCAGTTTTTGTGTAGAAAAAGGTATCTATGTGGTGGTGGTGTCTGAAAATGGTTTATTAGATTATATTAGGCTCAATAAATCCTTCACGTCAAATGAGCGTGGAAACATATTTTACACTTTACCATTTCTACTGAAATAAAACACAGCTTTAAAAAAAAACACAAAGTCTTGGTGGATAAACAAATAAGGAGAAACCAGCAGCTAACTTTTCAGGGCACTAAGAAATGGAGATTTTTTAGCAAAACATCTTCAGCTGCACATAAGAACAAAAAGATAAAAAGAAGAAGAAAAAAAAAAGTCTTGGAGACGAGAAGCCAAAGGCCGAGGGGCCAGAAAGCAACGTGAGACACAGCAACATGTTGCTGGTGATCAGAAAGGCAATAAATTACAACAACAAAGCTTTACTAGTTTTTTTAAACCGCGGCTCTGTTTTCAAAAAGTTCAGCAGATGCTAATTTCACAGAAAATCCTAAACACGGCTCAATCTGCAGCAGGGGAAGAGTGAGCTGAGGTCGATGGGACTGAGCAGCACTCCTCTCACTCTTTCTTTTTGTGTGTGAACAGAGAAGGACGCCCGTTCCCAAAAGGAAACATCTGTACATTCCAGACCAGCTGTGTAAGAAAGATGGAGACTGAAAAGAGAGGAAACTTCTCTGCTAAACCTATAAGAGGACGAAAAAGGGGCAGCAGCAAAAGAAGAAAAAAAAAAGCTCCACCCATGAACTGATCGTTCACACGTTCAACCGCCGCCTCATGTCATGCTCTCAACACCAATCCAAGCATCAATGGCTCTCACACTAGATGCTAACACAAACAAGAGGAGATAAAGAACAGAGAGAGATCGTGTGAATGTATGTGTTTAACATGACCATATAATGTGACCTTCACCAAGTCTACTGGCAACAGACTCCCGTTCTCTCAGCTACCTCTGGACACACATGGTTTTACTTATAAACACACACACACACACACCACACGCACACACACAGAGCTCACATATGGTTCTGTTTTGCTAACAGTGTGGCCAATGATCTAACAACTCCATATAAGGCCTGTCTGGTGCCACTTATTCTGAGCTAGAAGATGAACACATACACACACACACACACGCACGTGCACACACACACAACTCAGTCACATGGACAGGGTACGACCTCAAGAAAAAAAGGGGGCTAAAAGTTAGACAAAATGTAAATGTAGGAAGTACAGGAGACTAAAGCTTGATAAATGGCAAGAGAACACGTCTGAACTACAGATACAGATAAATATATATATATATATATATATATATATATATATATATATATATATAGTTTGTGATTTCTGTTTATATTTTCTTCCATACTTTTTTGCAGTCAAACTCCTTGAATCAATTTTGTGCTAGTTCGTCC